CCTCTTGCCTCTGAATTTTTCCAAAGTGCAAAGCACCAAGGAGCATGGGTCTTTTACCGAGGCTTCGCTTCGTCGTGTCTTCCAAGGCGCAACGGTCTTGTAAATTTCGTTTGGGTTTGCCTTTGTGGCAATGACAGGGGTTCAGCCGTCGTCGCCGGGCCTGGACGGGCCAGGAAGACGTTTAGCTGTAAAATTATCCCTGGCATCTGGGATGGGTTATCGTCCGGCGGGCTGCTTTGAGTGCGAGGTCCGACGATGTTGAAATTAGACAGCCATGATCTCCTCGGCCTGGGCCGTTGCCGTTGTTTCCTCCTTTTCGGCGTTTGCTTAATCACTTGCTGCTCCCCTGACTAACTGACCACTAGGCACCCATTGATGTCTTAATGGGCAGGAGTCTAGTGGTAGAAGGGCGATGGAGTTGCGGGATGGGGATGGGAGCAGAAGAATGGAGCTTTTCCCTGTGGGCAGTGGAGATTGGCCGATAGTAGTTTCTCGAGCTAGAACAGTTAGCTGCTCGGATGGACTGTCAAAAACTGCTGTCGCGGTCTTCTCGAAGCTCAGCGACCTTCCATGCATATATTAAGCCAAGTGATTCCCTAACCTGAACGAGTAAAGTCGCCTGGGTGCGTTATGGGCCGTTGTTCGTATTACCTCCGGTAGTACGGAGTACGTAGTGTAACAGTCGTAACTTGTCGGCGTGGCAAGGAAAATCTCGAAAGTCGACGACCCCATCCTTTTAGGCACAATGCTTCCAAATCATTAAGTTACCGGTAAGTCAGTGAAGACCAAATCTCCGTTTCCGACGGTCAAGCGGTAGGGTGGATTTGACCATCCCCTCTCCCTTATCATCGTCGCGCATAATGTCGACTTTGCGCCGCTGTCAGTGGCTAATGCTAAATTACCGCACTCCGGGGACTGGCCCGGAATCCGGAAGCTGCACCCACATCAAGTAAGGCGTCTCTCTGCGCAGTGTCGGTAGTAGAGTAGATTGGTATCGTGGCGTGTATCAGTCAAACCATTCTATCTTTAGATCCACCAATGAAGTAGTCTTAATCGCCGCGACCGGAGACAGAATCATGCATTCGATACGGTAATTTATTTTTATCATCGCCAGATGCTTGCGACTCCTGGTACTCCTGTGACTATCGAGGGGAGGATCAAGACAAGCAACGAGATAGGAAGAAGGGGTCCCTGGTACCTGCGCCATGAAATTTGAAACAGTGGCCACACTGACGAGTCATGTACGTACGAGAGACCTCAGCCAGGTCTACGATCCCTGGCAGCCTTGAGTCGGCGGCGAACTGCGTAGCGGTTGAAGGTAAGAACAAGGTGTGCAGTGCCACGGTGATGCTCATGGCTGGGTGCTTGAACGGGTTAATGATAGCCCTTTGAGGGGGAGTAAGAAGAGGTCCGTGTTCTGCGTTTCGCGTTCTGAGTTCTGACAGCTCTGGCTGAGTCCCCTTGCGTTGCCTTTGCTGATACTCGAGTACCACCACACACAAGACAAGACAAGATAAGTGACAAGTGAGATTGGATTGGTTGTTGAACTGTTATTGTCCGCCAATTGACCCATGACGTGGACAAGTCAAGTCCCGTGGTCGGACTAAGCCCGATTGCTGTAAATCATAACAATAACGACGTACTAGATGAATCATGTGCTGTTTGCCTGATTAATGCGACGAAATCCAGCGGAGTAATGATACACCCGCAAACATTCTGCCAAGTTCCGCTCTCAATTGATCAGATCCAATGCAGTCAAGAGACCGACTATTGAGTCGAGATGAGAAGATTGGAGGCTTGCAGATGATGGCAATCAACGGTAACCGAAAGTTCTTTATTGGCAACCGGCCCTATCGCAGTCCGACCAGAGAAAAGTGGATTCTAGGTGCAATGGATCAAAAACAAAACCAGAAAGGCGACCACGGGGAGAAAAACTAGATCAGATTGAAGCAAATCAGAATCGGGGGTTCTATTTTGACAGCTGCATTTCATATGTACCTAAGCCCTGTGTAACCGTCTATCGGACAACAAATAAACGATGCAAGCAAGGGTCGGCTGGCATACCAAGGAATTCCGGCGTGGGTGTCGCTTTTCCCCTCTCCGGCCATGCAGCCTACAGTTCCCCTCCGCATCGGTTCCTGCAGTAGGCCGCCCAGACCTGATCGATCCCATCCGCCATTGAACAGGTCGAATCTCAAAATGTGAGCTAATCCAAGAAGGCCCTTTTCGTCTTTCTCTCTCTTTCTCTCTCTCTCTCTCTCTCTCCTTGAGTGTGAGTGAGGTGCGAGTAGGTAACTGAGTAAGTGATTGACCTCTTTGACAATCCGAGTGCGCACACCGCGCCTGCGCCTGTGGTTCTTGGGAACCGGCTATGTGCTACGTGGCCAAACTCTCAATTTTAGGACACCAAAATTGGAGTTAGCCTATACTTGGGGTGCCAGTACCCTGGGATTTTCGTGCTTTTGACTTGAAATCATCTCACACTTTCCCCAGAAAAACTTTCGACCAACGACGCAGGAGCTATACCTAGCTTCCTAGGTTCAATACTGTCTGCACCATATGCTCGGCGTAGTGTCTCCAGCATATGATATGCTATCGGGATCTAGAGCCATCCTATGTCTGCTCATCGATTTTATTGTGTGATTATCATCAATGCGAATCATATAGGAAAGAAACATGCCAGTGCGTCTCCTCAGATGCCCAGAGAGGGATCAGACCCGTAGACTACCTACCCAGTACAATTTTGCCTCAGCTTACGATATGAGTTACCTAGAATATCACAGGGCTCCGATTGGGTCGCACCCGGGACTTCGGATGTCTTTTTCTGACAATCGGTGGTTTGCTGTCAGTAGCCAACACTTGATAGACTGGAGTAGACTCAGTAGTATTGTACCACCCGTAAGGACGGGTAAACTATACCTTAGTAGCACTTATCTTGCACCATGCCATAAGTTAGGTGGTGGGCCCCAGTCGCAACCGTTTCACCAGTGGTGTCGAGAGCTCGAGATGATGCCACAGTACAGTAGTGTTGCTTCTCGAAATTGCTAGTCTCAATGCCGCTAGAATGGACTGCCAAAGGATTGCGAACGTTTTTTTCGTTCATGCCCGCTTATCGACATGGGACCATACTATGTCTGTACTAATTGAGTGGTCTCATCGAGTCCGCAATTGCATGCCTGCATCCATGCCGTTACGCCGGGGCAGTTCGTATCATCGATCGTCGTCATCATCACCACCGCCGCCGCCGCCATCAGCATCATCATCATCATCCCTCTCCTCCAAAAGCCCCATCAATCATGATCATCAGTCTCCGCCCTCACAGAAGGCTGAGACCAAAGGGAAAGTCCAGAGCGACCCAGCGTGAGTTTGGGGGTGTGGGAGAGAACGGGGAGGGGCCGCGGACAACATCTGCACTGACCAAGACAACCCCCAAATCAGCAGCCACGGTCTCTTCATCATAACATCCATCACATCATCTACCCAACCAACCAACTTCAAAGGTTGTTTGCTGATCTTACTGTAAGCGTGAGGCCTCCCAGAGTGAGGGAACATGGGACAACCTTTCCTCGTCAAAAATTTTTTTTTTTTGCATTGCTTTTTCTCATCCCTCATTTTCTGTTTCCTGTTGTCTTTTTTTGGGGTACTTTTAAATGAAATCCCCCAAATGGCGGACGGGATGCGCAGTGGGGCCGACTAGCTTAGCCGGCGAGTCAATCCCTCCCCTTCACAGGTTGAGGCTATTGGCTTTGAGTGCAGCTTCTGGTGCGCTTGCCCTCACACCTAGCAGATTTGCAGTCAATGACCTTCAGTTGCCAACTCAAGCCACCATGTCTGTATGTGCGTGTGCGTGTGTGTCTCTCTCTCCCCGTCTAGCTGTCTTGAAGCCCCTCTTGACTGCCTGTCTGGCCGGTTTGGCTGACTGAACCGGCCTATTGGAATCTCACTTTTGGTTTTCCTTCCCCGCCCAACAGACTCTCACTCAACTCGCACACCCTCTCCACCACTTTTCAGTTTGCTCCAGTGAAGGTGACTGGCCCGATTGGTTTTCGTGCACCAAGCCAGTGGGACAAACAGGCCGCTGATAAGCCCAGATAGGCCATCCGATGCTGCTGATGCAGGTCTCATTGGTAACGGAACATCCGATCCATGTACTATGTATAACATATCACCCTCAGCATCACGATGAACGCTGTCATTGACAGACAAGTGGTCTCAACAGTAAGCGCGCAGCGTGATTGACGAGGTTGGTCTCAGCTGAGCACCTGAGCACCTCGAGTAGACAGTCAGTCCCTCTTGACTGGCAGAGAGGCAGTGGCAGTGAAGGAGGGAGGGTAGAGGATAAGGGGGGCCATTCGACAACTTTGAGGTGCTATTTTGGGAGCGAGAATACTGCCTGAGAGTCTCGGACGGACTGCTGTGGCGACTTTCAACCATCGAGACAGGCTTTCCAGCTCGGCCTCAGCCTGTTACCTTACCGGCGACGTTACAGGATAAATTACACCCGGGACTGTTATGTGTGGGAAGCTAAGTATCAGAAGACGGGACTGGACTCTTGACAACTTAGTGTGTTGACCTCCCTCCTACCTGGGTAAGTTCCAAAAGAGATTGAAGAGACTATGGAACCCGCTTTGCCCCCCCGACAGTTGTAGTGTGTACTTTATATGGAGATACTATGTAGTTATGGGGGTGTCTATCTAAAACGTGAATAATGAATTGGCCACAAGGCAAGATTGACGGAGACAGAGAGGAAGAACTGGGAAAGCCACATATCTCCATAGTTGGCCGTAGTGAGTGACCAAGGGCTGTGTACAGTACAAGTGAACTAAATGTTACCAGTTGCCAGTTACCACCACCATCCAACCCAGAACTGTCATTTGCCCTACAGTAATGAACTTTCTCTGAAACAGTGTTATGTGTCACCGAGGACGATAATTTGTGATGACTATATATCAAGTTGTCATTATAACCCTTCTGTGATGAAATAGCCAACAGTCACAAGCGGTTCCTTCTCTCGCTTCTACACTTTCCGTGCTTTGCTGGCTTGCCATTGGAACATGAGCATCTCCGCATTTACGCATTTACCCATCCGTGACCGTCAGACGTGTAGTGTGTGCCTGTGTGGTCTGGTGGTAATAAATGGACGGAGGGCCGAGTTTCCATGCACCATTGAAATGGGGCTTGAGGCCGCCAATGTTCCCACTCGTGCTCATGTGCTCCACGCACTTACGCCTCTTTAGGCTCCCCGGCCGAGGTGGTGGGGACGATTTGCTAGTGAGTCGACGCTGGGATTCGCCCTCGCCATCTGACTGTCTCTCGAACTAAGCTCCGATCCAACAGCATCCAGCATCTCCACCCCTCCCAAAATGAGGAATGAATGGCACAATATTTTAGTATATGTATTGTCGATACCTGTTTTGTATTGATCTCAATATCCGTCGTCCTTCTCCTGAACTCTTACTATCGTGGATGTCCGCATTGAAGAGGTAAAGTACGTAGTAGGATTGAGAGCAATAGTAGTAAGGTAATGGTACAGTAGAAATTCCGTTGTAGCTGCTCTAGTAGTCCGCAAGGTGGTCCACCTCCCGTTGATTTTGGTTTTGGTTTTGGTTTTGGTCTCCGCTTTCTCAAATTTCTAAACTGAATTGGAACTGAGATGTGCACCGCCGGCGCCAATCTGCTTTCTTTGCCGCCCCAGACTAGAAAGTCTACTCACTTAGCATTGATGGTGCATAAGATGGTAAGAAATAATGACAATCACCGGTTGGAGAAAATAGGATTTCCCATTCCACCTTTCCCACCCACCCCCCCCCTCTTCCCTTTCCCTCGGCCCTCTCTCTCTCCGCTTTCCATTGTTCCCCGAAATTTATTCAAATCATCATCCAGAAAGTCTATTATGGGAACGTTCAGAAAATAGAGCAAGAAACCATTCAACACACCCAAATCAGAAAATTGAGAGAGAGGAGAGGAGAAATGAAATTGAATGTCAAATTCAAACACTGTCAAAGACATGATCGAAGGCAGCCCAAGAAAAATAACATATGACACCGTACCTGGACCGGCATATTTATTAGATGAATTATTAGTCTTATATTACAATTACGACTATTATAGAACTGATTGCTCTCGACTTTCCTACTGGCACCACCACCCTAAAGTAAAGTTCCATGCAGCCCATCTCACCCCAAAAAGGCTCGCCAGGCTAAAAAGTACGGCTCCAGTCAGTCCTCCAGTCCTCCTCCAGTCCTACTGCTCACTACGTACGGCGCTACTACCTCGTAGCACAAGCAGATCAGTCGCTCTTTTATCCACTGCCCATCCTTCTGGCCGTCTTTTCCTCTTTCCATATCGGCCCTGTCTCTCATTTTCCCCGCGACTGTCCTCCTCGTCCTTCAAATTAATCTTCTTTATTTCTTTTTATTTTATTATTATTCTATTATTCTGGGATTTTTTTTTATTTCCTTTTTGCCCTTTTTAGACTCGTCTCGATCCTCATCTGGTCGTCCTCTCTCCTTCCCTTCTTTTTTATCTCTCTAGTCTTAATTCCCCTCCCTCTCGCTCTCTCTTTCATTTGCGTCTTCAGTCTTTCGGTTTCCTTTATCGAGCGCGTTCTAAACCGACTTCATTCTCTGGTTTGGATCGTATCGATTAGAGGTGCCTGTCCTTCCTTCAATAGACCTGCGATACAAGCATCAGATATAATACCACCACCACCACCACGAACTATCGTTCTTCGCATCATTATCACAGCGCTGTCTCATTCACTCACTCCTTCAAGTGCAAGAGACTATCAACATTCTTTCCAACACTGTCGTTCTTGATATAGACGACTTCTCATCGCTTAGTGGTCCCGACTACAAGACAGAAAGCTTCGCGCAGTCCAACAGTCCGGGTAATACTAACCCATTGATATACTTATCTTAATTACATCTAGCAGAGTAGACCAGACTCTACTCGCTTGTGCAACCACAACACTTCACAATCTGTGAGTCTGATCTTCCAATATATGTCTATTGGGGACCAAGCGCTGACTCAGATGGTAACCAGCTACACTCACAATGGACGCAACATACACAATGGCGCCGACATCGGTGCAAGGGCAACCGTCCTTTGCATACTACCCAGCTGCCGACTCGCAGCCCAGACAACACTTCACCAGCCACCCTTCAGATATGCAACAGTTCTATGGTCAAATGCAACCGTTCTCCCACGCTCAACAACAACACCAACATTGTGTGCCGGACCAGTCTCTCTATACCGCTCAGTCTGTCATGAACATGCACCAGATGGCTACAACGAATGCCTTCCGGGGTGCCATGAACATGACGCCTATCGCCTCTCCTCAGCCGTCTCACCTCAAGCCCACCATCGTCGTGCAGCAAGGCTCACCAGCTCTGATGCCCCTCGACACAAGGTTCGTGGGCAACGACTACTATGCCTTTCCCTCCACCCCGCCGCTCTCTACAGCTGGTAGCTCTATCAGCAGCCCGCCTTCCAGCATCGGTTCCCTCCACACGCCCATCAACGACAGTTTCTTTGCTTTTGAGAAGGTTGAGGGCGTGAAGGAAGGCTGCGAGAGCGACGTTCACGCGGAGATTCTGGCCAATGCCGACTGGACTCGCTCGGAGTCGCCTCCCATGACACCTGGTACGTACTAGTCCTTGATTCTCTGCAAAGAGACCCGTTAGCGGCCTACACCACGTGCTGCAAGAGTGCGAAAAGGCATTGGTAGATGGTCAGTAGTCTAGGGCTATTCGGTGAACTAACTTAACTTGTTCTAGTGTTCATCCACCCCCCTGCATACACCGCCTGCCAGACCTCGGAGCTCCTGTCTGCCACTAGCTCTTGCCCATCCCTGTCTCCATCGCCATCCCCTGTTGCTTCGACCCTGATTGTTCAGCCCCAGTCCGCTCTGCCTCTGGAACAGTCCAACTCGGACTTCTGCGACCCTCGTCAACTCACTGTCGAGTCTTCAATCAATGTTGCCGAGTTGCCGCCTTTGCCCACTCTTGCATGTGATGAGGAAGAGTCAAGGGTTGTCTTGGGTGGTGAGGCTGTAACACTTCCTGTTCACGAGAACCTCTCCCCTGTGTTCTCTTGCTCCTCGGAGGATCCCTTGAACAGCCTTCCCACCTTCGATAGCTTCTCGGATTTGGACTCCGAAGACGAATTTGTGAACCGCCTGGTTGACTTCCACCCTAGCGGCAACGCTTTCTACCTGGGCGAGAAGCGGCAGCGTGTTGACTCCTACTCCCTTGATGAGGAAGAGTTCTTCAGTGAGCAGAGCTTCGACGAATCAGACGACCAGGATCTGTCCCAGACCAGCCTTCCATTCCTGGGTGGCTCCGATTTTCCCGTCCAAGCTACTGTCAGTGACGTTGCTGAGGAGATGAGAACGAAGAAGCGCAGCAACTCTCGCAAGTCGCCCAAGAGAGCTGGCTCCGAGAGCGATGCGGACTCTCTGGCCAAGAAGGCACAGGATTCCGCGAGTGATTCGGAATCCATAGCCGCCCAAGCATCTTGTCAAACCCGTCACAACTCGGATGCTAGCATGTCTAGTTGCTCTGATGCGCCGTCTGCCCCGGTCTCTGTGAACCGTCGTGGTCGCAAGCAGTCGTTGACGGATGATCCTTCCAAGACCTTCGTGTGCACTCTTTGCTCTCGCCGCTTCCGTCGCCAGGAGCACTTGAAGCGTCACTACCGCTCTCTGCACACCCAGGACAAGCCTTTTGAGTGCAATGAGTGTGGCAAGAAGTTCTCCCGCAGTGATAACCTGGCTCAGCATGCTCGCACGCATGCGGGCGGATCCGTGGTGATGGGTGTTATCGATACCAGCAGCACATCCTCGCAGTCTCCTTTTGAGGATCACAGTCCCAACACCATGGGTGCGGTTCTCTATGAAGCTGCCAATGCTGCCGCCAACAAGTCGACGACCAGCGACTCGTCCGATGAGAGCATTATCGAGACGCCATCTGCTGATCGTCGAGCCCCCAAAAAGCGCAAGCGTGACGCGGATGCTTAATTAGGTCGTCGACTTGGTTTCGAAGCCATCATGATGATATGTGACCAGGAGCTCCCCAATATCACTTAATCATATATTATAAATGACCAACCATTCCCATGGTTGGTCCAACTGGGTCTCTTACGGATTGGCGTCCGGGTTTGGATTCTGGCGGCGACCAGGAAGGCAAAGGTGCATGGATTATTTTTATTTTTGAAAGGTCCTTGGAGTCGATTATCCCGAAAAGCGACTTCGAGGCACCAAGTTTGGCGAAGCATTAGACCGGCGGCGAAGGAACTTGGGCGCACATTTGGGAGTCCATGGTTGGACCAAAACTATAGAGCGCGTGCATGATGACTCTACACTGAGGCACTGGTGATTTGGGTTGATTTCCTTTCTCTCTCATTCCCCTCTTATTTCTACTCTCTCTGACAACAAACATCCTCAACTCGATCTGCGAATGGCCGACTAGGACCACCACACTTGGTCCAGTCGCCTGTTTTCGTGTACCCTATTCCCCCCTCCCAAACATTCTCCTTTTTCATCTCTTTTCTTCTACATACTTCTCGTTTATTTACCCTTACCCTTCTCTGTGCACTATTACCACCCACTCTGTTTTGTTCTGCTCCTGTGCAGTACTGTGCTGGCCACATGTATACTTTAATATTGTTCCCCAATCGTTGCCTCATACCCCTGTGCGCATACCCCCATTTCTTTCCTTCTCTGTCACTTGTTGCATCTACATTGTGCATAATAACCCCATATCTGCCATTTATGTGTTGAGCGTGCCATTCGTTCTGCAGCATAGCTTGTGATAATTGAGATTTGTGAATCATCAAGGTCCATACAGACAGTAGTTTGGTTTTTTTTTGTAGAAAGCCTGAAGTTCGTGGGTATAGTTCGATGGTATGGTATGCTTTTTGGGAAACCCGCCTTTAGCTTATCTTAGCAGCACTCTCCGCCTCGGCAGATCTTAACGTCACCCACTCCAATGAATCCTGCGACAATTCTCTGCTTGAGGAGGGATTGTCGGATCTCTAGTTGCCCTTTTATCTTAGGCCAAGTGAGCATTACTAACCAATAGTCTTTCTCTGATGCTCGACCCGGTCCGACGCTCTGCTGCGTGCCCACCTTCTTCCTAGATTAGCGAATACTGTCTGCGGGGTGCCGGAATCCCACCACGAAGAAAAAAGACCTTCGACCCTCCATGAACAGCAGCCTCCATCCAACACACCCATCCTTGTCGGACACATATACCACACCAGCCACTATGGCACCTCAATCGCATCTTCAACCACCATCACCGCCGGCTCCCGGCGCAGGTCTCAATGTGATCGCCCTCATCTCTGGCGGGAAAGATTCGCTCTACTCGCTCCTCCACTGCATCCGCAACGGCCACAAAGTGGTCGCATTGGCGAACCTCCACCCCGCAGCCCACGCGCAGCCCACCACCACCACCACTCCTACTACTGCCACCAGCACCGACCCATCATCAGCACCATCATCGACCCCGTCCCACCATGTCCCCGAAGAAGAGGAACAAGACCTGGACAGCTTCATGTACCAAACCATCGGCCACAGCATCATCCCCCTCTACGAGACCGCCCTCGGCATCCCGCTGTACCGCCAACCCATCCGCGGCGGCGCGGTCGACACCTCCCGGATCTACCGCCTACAAGCCGAGGACCAAATGGCGGACACTCCCGGCCGCGACAACAGCAACAACATCGACAACAACAACAACGACACAAACAACCCCGAGGACCGCGAGGAGGAGCAGGAGGAGGAGACCGCCGACGAAACCGAATCCCTGATCCCGCTGCTGAAACGCATCATGCAGGCCCACCCGGAGGCCAACGCCGTCTCCGCCGGCGCCATCCTCTCGACGTATCAGCGCACCCGCATCGAGAACGTCGCCGCCCGCCTGGGGCTGGTGCCCCTGGCCTGGCTGTGGCAGTACCCCGTGCTGCCGGATCGCCGGGCGACGGACGCCGGCCTGCTCGAGGATATGGCGGCGGCCGGGTGCGAGGCGCGGATCATCAAGGTGGCGTCCGGTGGCTTGGATGAAGGGTTCCTGTGGGGGGATGTGGCGGCGGCGGATGGGCGGGTGCGGGGGCGGATCGTGAAGGGGATGCGGCGGTTTGCGGACGCGGAGGATATCCGCGGCGCTGTGCTGGGGGAGGGCGGCGAGTATGAGAGTCTGGCGCTGGATGGGCCGGCGTGGTTGTGGAGGTATCGGATTGAGGTTGCTGGGTGGGAGGCTTGTGTTGGGGATGGCGGGGTGGGATTTGTGAGGTTGAAGGGGGCGAGGTGTGTGGGGAAGGATGGGGAGGGTGATCGGGGCGGTCCGGAGAGGGTGAGGCGGCCGGATTTGTTGGATGAGGGGTTCGAGGAGGTTTTGGGGCCTGTCTTGGGGGGCGAGGATGCGTTGGTTGCTATGGGGGATGAAGAGGAGGAGAGGAGCCTGCATAGTGTGGGCTCGAGGGTCTGGAGTGATGGGCTTGAGCCGGTTCAGACTACGGAAGGGAGGACGTGGGTGATCGCTAATGTCACGGCGCTTGAGGCTGGCCCTGGTGCTGGTGAACAGATGAAGGCTATTGCGGAGAAGTTTCAGACGATTCTGCGCTCCTCCTCGAGCCGTGAGGTCCCTCGGACGACGGCTGATATTGTCTTCACAACGGTGTTGCTCCGCTCCATGTCAGATTTCCCCCTGATGAACTCCATCTACGTCTCGATGTTCAAGAAGCCAAACCCCCCGGCGAGAGCTACGGTGGCCTGTGGTGCTAGCCTCCCAGAAGGCGTGAATATCATGGTGTCCGCGGTGGTGGACTTGGGTTCGAGGGAGCAGCGGCAAGGCCTTCATGTCCAGTCGCGTTCTTACTGGGCCCCGGCCAATATTGGGCCATACTCGCAGGCCATGTCGGTACCTCTGCAGGGCCCCGAGCATTTGGTGTACATCGCTGGCCAGATCCCTCTCGAGCCGGCCTCGATGGAGATATATGGCCTCGAGGAGACGTGGTTCAAGGGCTTTTCTTCGCGAGCGGTCCTGTCTCTTCAACATCTATGGAGGATTGGTGTGGCTACGAACGTGGACTGGTGGCTGGGAGCTGTCGCTTTCCTGGCGGGAGCCGATCATATCAGAGAGAGAGCCAAGATAGCTTGGAATCTGTGGGAAACGATGCATAGCAATCAAGAAGAGGAAGAGGATGCCGAAGACGAGTCGGGTCTGGATGCGTGGGACCTCAAGTATGGTGGACGCGCCCACGAGCAGGTCAAGGGTGTCTCGAAACCCGGACTACCGCGGTTCGACGTGGTGCAGTCGGAGGGATCTATGACCCCTGCTTTCTTCGCCGTGCAGGTAGAAGAACTGCCCCGAGGAAGTGATATCGAGTGGCAGGGTCTCGGTTTCCGGTGCGATAAACTCGAAATGACCACCGAAGAACTGGAGTATGGACGGCAGACCGTGGTGACCACTGGCCAGGATTTGGGCTACATCGGCATCGAGGTCGATGCGAGATGGTCTGGGCTTGACCTCGAGTCTTGCCTCCGGTCGATCCTGCAGAAAGCCACGCAAGGGTCGAAGAGCCCCCATGTAGTCATATACACGACCCAGCCATTGTCCAATGATCCATCCTGGGGTCAGATCATTCCCTGCAAATCGGCTTGGGGATCGAAGGGTCGGCAGCTGGCCGCGGGGGTTATCGTCCAAAGGCAGACGCCGTCTGCATAAGCTGGATGAGCCAAGACTCGGAACGAAAGGATCTGTGTGGCTTCACAGTTGCATGCGCATAGCAGTATGATACCATTTTTTACATTATTATAGAATCAAGACATTGTACATATAGCATCATAAGTGTCGATGCAAGAACGCTGGCTCCCAGTTGAAGACATTCGTGACCTTAGCTCACTTGTATCCAAGTCTGATTGACTTCTGATGTAAGCCGATGGGGGTCAGATGAGATCATTTGAAAAAGCCCGATGGGCTGACTGCCGTACCCGATTTAAACTCCATAGCCTTATGATCGGAGTGAGGTGAAAGAAGGCGAAAGGCCCTGACCCTGAGAAGAAAGGGGTTCATTCCTTTATTACCATCTCCTGATGCACGCCTGACGTGCTGAGTCGGCATGTGATAAGCGAAAAAAACCCGCTCCCGCCTGTTGGTTCCTCCGATCTGATCAGCTCTCGATAACAACTTCCACTCAACCTGTCATCCTTCCCTCCTTCTGCGCCCCAACACTTCCCCACTACTACCACCACCACACACTCCATAAATTCAGGGCCAATTCTTTCGGTATGACTACTATCATTTGAGTGTGCTACCTTACACATGTTGCAATGACTAACATCGACGATGCTCTATAGTCCCTCCTTCCTTGAACCCTGACCTATGTTTATCGACATGACGTACGCGCTCTAAGAACAGAACCGGACGGTCTGACCAGCAAACACCTATGACCTCTACACAGAGCCAGGAGGAAGATGGGCTACTTCCAACACCCAACAAAGATCCTGCATCCGACCCTGAAGCTCACGAGAATCTCCGACAATTCTCCCGATCCCCCCATCCATACACTCGTCCGGGTTCGCACTGTCCCTCGCTGCCTGTGGATCCCGGCGACCGAGCGAAGCCCTCCCGCTGGCCCCGGACCTCGAGTGACAGCGGCACCGAAGCCGACGATGAGAGTACTGGCCTTCTAAGAGGCTTGCCGGCTCCTCCGCTGCGACCGCGAAAAGGATTGCGTTCGAGTATCCATGGCGCCGGCGAGATCGATCAGTGGCTCCCCATCTTGCGCCCGTGGCCGTCGATAACACGGTCCACCTCGCGGAGTTCGCGGCGGAGTTCTGGCGAGGATGCGCAAGTCGGGGCCGCCGAGCTACGGGAACAGGAATATCGCAGAAAACGGGTGGCCGTTCTACAAAGGCTGCTGGAAACCGCACTGCTGCTCTCTGTGGGTGTTGTCGTCCTGGGACAGGAGCGTGTGAGAGCGGCCGCTTGGGCCTGGAAAAAAGGTGCGCGGACATCTTCCCTGTGTTTGTGAAAGAGATCTGGACTCATCTCTTGACTAACTTGGGAACACCTTGCAGAGCTTGCCACCTTTCTGATCATTGTGATCGGTCTCTACACCGCATATCCTCTACATCGCGATGGCCGCCCGCGGCTCTCTCGCCTGTTCACCTTTGTCGTCCCTTCCGCCTTCGATCCCGCTCCGTTGCTTTATCCCGTATTAATACCCATCTACGTTTCGCTGTCGCTGGCGCATCACAATCCTTCATTGATACTGCCTAATATTCTTCTCAGTCTTTCATCTCTCCCTGTTACAATCGTTCCGCTGCGCGAATGGGTCCACGGTTACAGTGTTGTCCATTGGCTGGTCACGTTGATCCCGATTGTCGTTTCGGAGCATCTGTCGGCAGGTCCTTCATGGCCGAAACCACTCACTCTTCGTGGCCTGGACGCGGAAGTCTTGACTCTTATTTTTCCTTTCCACCAAGCGTTGATACCCACTCTAGATTTCTTGTTGACTACCAGCATCCTTCCCGCAGAGCTGCAGCTTTTAACCACCGCTTTAATCAATCTCTACTTATTTGCGACATCCCCCCAGGCCGAAATCCTCAAGGCATTGCTATGGCTGGGAGGCATGTGCACCTTCATCGCTTGCCGAGGTGTGCTTCGATGGGAGGTTGCCTTGGCTCGAATCCCGACCTGGAAGTTCCGACGCTCCCCTAGTGCTTCGCAGTCGCCTCGCGGCATCTTCAATGCGATCGACCACAAACTCTGCCAAAAACTCAGCAGAACAGGCTCCTCGGAAGATAATCTCTCTGATAGTGATTCGGCCGATGGGAGCTATGTGCTGGTCTCCCGCAAAACAATGTTCGACTCGCGGGAGAAAACGCTGTCCCACGGGCTAAGTATCACCAAGCACGACAACGCGGGCATGGAAGGCACTCGTCGGCGATCCCGTACCGCGCATCGCCGACGACACACTTTTTCGAGCTTCGACGATGTCAAACGAGCGGAGAAGGTTAGAACGACACCGGGAGGTCGCAAGAAGCGATCAATGGCCCCCGGACTAGCCTCCTTCCTATCACTCACTGTTCCTCAAGCACAAGTCCGGAAATGGCTGTATGCCCTGTATGTTTACATTGCCGTTCTGATCATTGTCATGGTGCCCATTCGGTACTATGTCAGTGATCGAGCATTGCAGAACGGGGAGCCCTTCGGGTGGGCATTGGGGTACCTCTTCGGTAATATATCTGGGTTTAGATTCTGGGTGCTCATGTGGGGTTTGGAGTATTGGATTCCTCTTCCATCTCGTCTGGATAGCGACCCCTCCAATGCATCATGTCCCTTTGGCTGGGTTGAGCATCTGCGGCACGATATGTTCGGGGAGGCTAATTCGCGCCTCCTGATTGCTGCCTATTGCATCCTGGTACTTGTGACCGGCCTGGCTGTTGTGCTACAACTCAGTCCAATCGCAGAGGTCGACACCCGACGCAAGGTTTTTCATGGGATGATGGTCTCGATGTTCCTTCCGACCATTTACATTGACCCCCTGTTCTGTGCTCTCGCGTTGAGCCTCGCCTTGGCTATTTTCCTGCTTCTCGACTTGTTCCGAGCCTCTCAGCTGCCACCGATCTCCCGGCCGCTGACGTATTTCCTGGCGCCCTACGTGGACGGTCGCGATCATCGTGGTCCCGTCATTGTCTCGCATATTTTTCTTCTCATTGGATGCTCTATCCCCTTATGGCTGTCCCTGGCCGATATTCCTCGGACAGGAGAGTATCCATGGGCGGGCTGGGACGTAATGGGTCGCGATGTCAGCATGGTGAGCGGCATTATCTGTGTCGGGATGGGAGACGCGGCGGCCTCCCTCATCGGTCGCCGGTTCGGCCGGCGAAAATGGTTCTGGGGCGGGGGGAAATCGTTGGAGGGCAGCGTGGCTTTTGCAGTCGCTGTAACCAGCGGGCTGATTGTTGCACGAACCTGGCTTACCGTGGGCCAATGGTCCACGGACGGAAGTGACGGGACGAATCTCATATACCCCTGGCTGCTTATGGTGTTCAAAGCCATCTTCGCAGCCGGCGGGACAAGCGCAACCGAAGCCATTCTGACCGGGTGCAATGACAATGTCGTTGTACCGATTGTGCTGTGGCTGTTAGTGAGAGGGCTTGGCATTTGATGCGGTTGACATTCGCATATAGTAACGATTACAGCATGCTTTGGTGGAGCGCTTCTGGTGATGTCTGCTTTGCTATATACCCCATAAGACGAAGAAGCACTGCAAGTTTGGGTGGATTCGTTGTGTTTTCTTTTTGCACCTGCTATCGACTTCTCTCTTTTCACTTTTTATTTTCTACGACTACCTTGTGTGCCATCCCTGGTTCAATTAATCATCGCGACCGAATGAATAGAATAGCAGCCTGATGGTGATGACGTGGAAGACTGTCCTCGCTGGTTATGGCGTGCTCCGCTTGTGAATAACATAACCAACCCATCATGCCAACATTATAGAGTGACTGAGTGCCGAAGGCAACCCTCTCCACAATCAGGCAGCACCCTAGGGAAGACCCATTCGCTACATGCATTGGTCTGAGAGAAACGGGGGTTTTTTTTTTGATTTCGTACCTGAATCGTACTTTGTTGTCCGCCTTGATCAGCCTAGCCTAGTGACTCTAGCTTGAGAAGCTAGGAAGACTCGTCCGGCAGCTCAGGGACGTGCTGTGCGCCGGGCGGGTTTGAGCTGTGTCGATCGCCACCGACTGAGCGTCCCGACTATGACCAGACAGGTTTAGCGGGGGATCAGCCAGCAAGATCAGGCGGCGGGTAACTAGAGTTTTGGGTGGACAAGGCTCTGCCCTTTGCCCCATCAATAATAATAGAGTCGCTTATCAAGGTTCTTTGAAGGAAAGGGTGGGCTCTCGCGGCAAGACGGTGGCAAGGTCGGATGGGCACTGCACTGGGCTCTCTCGGGGGTCTTTGTTGGTAAGCAGCCGCGCTCGGAGAGGCGGAGAGGCTGAGGAGGCGGGGAGAGGAGTAGGAGGGGAAGAGAAAGAGAGACAAGAGGGTTGAGTCATTTGATGCGCCATCCATTCGTTTTATTAGGCGAGTCTGGACTAGTTGTTGGGTGATTTGCTTGATTTTAGGTTGGGGGAAACGTCGGGTGTCACTGACACTGACCCGGAAAGTTATGAGTACGTCGAGTAACAGGTAACAAGTAACTTGATTTTGGTTTAGGGAATTAGAAAGAGAGAGAGGTTGAGTCACCAGATGTGAACCGTCAGATTACCAGGTATGGTACGGAGAAAGATGACTGACTGGGGTTTCGCTGATCACTGTGTCTGGGTGCTGATGATGTTGATGGCTGATGATACCGCAAGTGGCTGAGCACATCATAATCATAACTGGATCATGAACTGACGAAAGTGCGCATGTAGAACATTTCACTGGTATGGATGGACATCTGCATTTGCACTGTACAGTACGTAGAGTATCTCGAGAAGAGTGATGATTGCATCAATCCATGTCTCGAGGACGGATACTTTCCCCAGGCAATCCACTCGTTATCGCCTGTCCCCGGATTCATCCTGTTCCGGCCGCGTCTTATCTCTCCGTCTGTCTTTCTCTCTCTCTCTGGGCTGTCAGGGCTGCAGTGGGAGATTAACGTTAGCAGGAACCTTGACCTGTACTGTAGGGTAGTACTGTACTCGGCTGTACATCTTCCCCCTTAGTAGAAGCATGATGCAGTCAACCTTGGTATCTCGATGATTTCCCAGTCTGTAGTACAGTACAGTACTTCATGATAAATCACTAACTTATCTAGGACGAGTAGGTAAGTAAGGGTGATGACGACCGTGGACTGGGAAGTACTGCTCCTAGTCGGTACTGTGGAGATTGACTCGGGGTGGCCATTGGCTGGGACATCTGTTCGAGGACATGCCGCCCTGCTGACCGCCTTGATTCTTCTCCCCCGAAGGTCATTCATGATCTTATCGGCGGTCACGCTCTCAGTCACTGATCCCTCCCAGAGTCTCTCTCTCTATTCCTACCTACTCAATAAGTTACCTACAACAATTTTGCTTGCTTGCTTGCTTGCTTGCATGTCCCACGGGTCCAGCTGCTGCTCCCGCCTTTCCACCTTCCCCGTCAATCACATCATTCTCTCCCTCTACTACTTCCCCCCCCCCCCTTGTCTTTGTGAGTGACTTTGAAACTTATCTACAATCCGACTCTTTCTTCTTGTTCTTTCTTCTTTTCCCATCCTGCAAGCCACGGTCTTGTTCGCTATCAGTCCATCGGTTACTTCCACGCCTCGATCTACACGACATACTTCATCTGCCGAAATTAGTATACGTCTATCAGCACTGCATCAACAGCTTAGGCCACACCTCCACCTCCACCCCCCTGTAGCTGTCGCCTCCATCCTATCATACACACCCCCGTCTGTCCGCCTCACCGCTCTCCTGCCTCCTACAACGCCGACGTCTACTCTCGACCTATCTACTACCACTAACTCGGTCCCCCCTACACCCAGACCCTATCTGAAGGTAGAAAGACGCCTACCTATTCCTTGTCTCGTCGCCTGCGCTCGCCTGCCGCCCTGCCCAGCGCTCCTTCACCACTTCCACCACTGCCTCCGCGGTCGACCTTATCCTTCAGCCATATCTATTGCTCTCCTCGTCCTTTCTCTGTCTACTATTCCTCTTATCTCCAACATTCCTCAACCGCTTGCCATTCCCCTGATGGGCCCCATCCCTCATTCGCCGTCGCTATTCTTCCTGTTGAGGTAGTTGTTGTTGTTGTTGTTTAACGGGGCGTCGCTGGGGTTTTGTACACACATTGTCTGCGCCCTGTCGCAATCATGGCATCAACAAGTCATTCGAGGAGGACGAGAGATTCCTCACACGCTGAGATGCCCATCGGCCGCTACACGCGGCTGGACGAGATCGGCCGAGGCAGCTTTGCCACTGTCTACCAAGGTGTTCATACGGTATGTTTCCTATGTCGCGACCCGAAACCGCCCTTGGCGAAAGAGGCTGGATCGTTCATCGGCGGTCAAGTTGAAGCTTTGGAGGCCTGTGCTAATTAAGTGTCTTCCTGTAGAAAACCCGCACCTTCGTGGCGATAAAGTCCGTCAACCTTTCCAAGCTGAACAAGAAACTGAGGGAGAACCTGTCGTCAGAGATCCATATTCTCAAGGGTTTATACCATCCCCATATTGTGGCTTTGATCGACTGTCATGAGACGACGTCTCACATCCATCTGGTGATGGAGTACTGTGCCCTCGGTGATCTATCTTTGTTTATCAAGCGACGAGATACCCTAGGCGATCACCGATATACGCGAGAAATGATCTCCAAATATCCGAATCCTCGAGGTGGCGCTTTGAACGAGGTCGTCACCCGCCACTTCCTCAAGCAGCTGTCGAGCGCTCTGAAATTCCTCCGAGATCGAAATCTCATCCATCGTGATATCAAACCACAAAATCTGCTCCTTTGCCCATCACCATCATCTTACCGCTCGGGCACCACCCAGGTCGTACCATTCAAGGGCAGCGAAGATTCATTCAACCCTACGACAGGACTCGAATCACTACCCATGCTCAAGATAGCTGATTTCGGTTTCGCGCGGTCCCTTCCAGCCACGTCGCTTGCAGAAACCTTGTGCGGCTCGCCTCTCTACATGGCTCCTGAGATTCTTCGGTATGAGAAGTATGACGCCAAGGCTGATCTCTGGTCGGTGGGCACGGTATTGTACGAAATGGTTGTTGGGAAAGCACCCTTCCGGGCTTCGAACCATGTCGAGCTGCTTCGGAAGATAGAGAAAGGAGAGGACAGGATTAAGTTCCCTGAGGAGAACCCTGCTTCTAATGAGATCAAGGCATTGATTAGAGCGTTGTTAAAACGAAATCCGGTAGAGAGGCTGAACTTCGCCGATTTCTTCGAGAACGGCATCATCACAGGTTCAATTCCTGGTTTGATAGCCGATGATGCGTCCTCGCCATATCGACGTTCGACCATGGACACAACTGCTGCCGAACCAGCACCTGTACCGGAATCGCGGCCTGAGCCTAGTCCTGTAACAGCGACGCCCCGTCCGAAAGAGGTGCCGTATCCTGACGACCGTGTGGAACCCTCCACGTACCCGATCGCCCGACGCTCGATTGCACCGACTTCGCGTCCCGGTACGCCGAGCACACCTATGCGTAGGACTGGCAGCGCCGATAGACCTTTGTCTATCGCCAAGGGTTCTGCAGAAACGACGGGGTATCCAGTTCCAGTAGTAGATCCTCAGGCTCCTCTCCGCCAGGAGCCGAACGAAGGTGGTGCGGCAACCACACCCGTTGAGCGTCAGCGGAGCCGCACTGCCCCGTCTGGTGTTCCGCAGGTGGATCGGTCTGCGGAAAAGGCAAAAGAAGAGCGCGAGCGCGAGCGCGCAGCGCAAGAAGTAGCATTCGAGCGAGATTACGTGGTCGTGGAGAAGCGGGCAGTGGAGGTTAATGCCTTTGCCGATGAGATGGCACATAGTCCGCGGATTCAAGGGGGCTTCTCTCGGCCTGGCCAGGGAGGCGTGCTGTCACGACGCCCAGCAACAATGCAGGGCGTACCGACAGCTGCAAACATGTTACCCAGCGCATCTCCTAGCAAAGCCATGCAGATGATCTCTGGGCGCCCTCGTGCTGATTCGGCCCACATTCGCCAGAACTCTTATGAGCGCCGATACGGACAGAGCCCGACATCGGCCACGTCGGCGATATCCAAAGCCCTCAATATGGCCAGCGGCCGCCTATTTGGGATGGGATTTTCACCACCCTTGACAATAACAAAGGGCGGGCGCTCCCCGCCGTTGGCTTACAACCCTTTCCCAGCCTATCCCAACCCCCAAACTAGCTTGATTGTTCTCGGGGACAGTACTAAGACGAACGTGGCGTTGGATGAAGACAGCAAGATTGTTCAAGAGCTCGAGGAGTGTGCCACTCGCAGTGATGTTGTCTATGGATTTGCCGAAGTGAAATACAAGCAACTCATCCCCTTGGCTCCTTCTGTTCAAACCGATAATCCTGGAACCACGAATTTGCCTGGCCAGCCAGAGACATCAGATCCCACTGACAGCGGACTTACGGCCGACGCGATCGTGACACTATCAGAAGAGGCGTTGGTTCTCTACGTCAAAGCGCTCTCC